CAGTTTCATCTTATTGCAGAACATCTGGATTATTCCCACCTGAATTTGGTCCAGTGTAAACTCACACTCCTCAGAGGAATTATGCAACTGAAGAATGAATAAAGGTTAGGTAATAAAGATGAGGTAATTAGATAATGTTTATTATATCTAGATGTTAATAATATCTAGAATGAAAATGATAATGCATTTCAAATCGTATAAAGGCATAATATAGCTCTTTAATAATTTCTTTTAAAAAGTGTTTTTACAAAAGTGCATTACAAATAAATGCCTATTTCTTAATCAAAAGGCTGCATTTTGCAAAATGATGAACATGATCAGTTTTTGAAGAAGAAAAAAACAGACAATATCTTGCATCTTGCAGTAAAATAAAAAATGTGCAGTTCACACAGCAATAAGAGAAACTCAGCTTGACCTAATCTCGGATTTATTTTCTTTCCCATCAGCTGTGTTACGACTTTGAAATGGTCCGAAAACAACCCACGTGTCCCAAATCACCCTGTATACACTATGTAGTGCACTATTTTATTTATTTATTTTTTAAATTTTTTTTAGTGTTCTCTTTTTTTCGTTTTACAGCGTTGGAAAGCTTATTGGATAGAAAATAAAATCCCACAGAGAGGGACAGTGTGCAAACGACGAGCTCTAACAAATAACGATTAAACATAGTGCACTTTATATTGGTAGGGAACAGGGAGGCACCATTTCGGACACGGATACGTGTTGTGCTGAATTCGTACTCCAGAAAGAATCGGATTCGTTCCGCGGCGATTGGTTGGGTTCATGAAATCCCGCCTACTTGGATTGTAATTGGGCTGGAATCCTCACGAAGCGAATTTGATTGGCTGAGGGACTGGTAGTCTGGCGAATCCGCGCGCGGGAGAGCAGATTTTACGTTGGTGTGATATCTGTGCACCACGTGGTGTCTGTGACTGTAGGACCTGCTCTGGCCGAAACACCGAAACACCTAAAGAGGCTCGCGGGTAAATAAAATATATGTTTAAAAAAAAAGCATTTTGTTGGTCTGTTTGATAGTTTCAGTTCTTTAATTTGAATTTTAGATAGATTTTTTTTGTTGACTTTGGGTTTAGACGGAGAGAGAGGCAGTCATGTCGCAGGTGTTGCCTTACGAGGAAAACATAAGTCGGTACGGTAACGATGGAGACGAGGAGCAAATGTCTCTCACCTGCCGCCTGCACAACACCAACAACTTCTTCAGCTCCACACAGAATAAAAGACCTCCAAAACTCGGACAGATTGGACGGAGCAAACGAGGTGAGGAGACTTTCAAGAGTTTGACGCAAGCTCTACCTTGTTAAAGTTCATTTCAGGTGGCTGGGTCCACAATGTCCAGCTAAAACCAGTGAACCCCTTAAAGGAAAAGTCCACCCTGAAACACATGAAATATGATCAGACTCAAAAAATGTGTGAGGATTTTATAAATTCCTATTTTAAGTTGTTCGTTGATTTTGTCTTTTCGTTATTCACGTGAGAAGTTAGGATTGTGTCCCGCTCTGATGTCACCGGGGGACACTGTTATTGCTAGTGCACTGACAGTGGAGTTTAACAGGTGGGGGAAAAAAAAGAACGATCTCAAACATGTTTCGAGATCCCGGAGGAAACCCAAATAAACAGGGGGAGAACATGACGCGGGGACCGGCAGCGCTACCTGTGTGCCAGCCTGTTCGATGTCGCGTTAATGAGAAGTCCAGCGTAGAAAGTAGTGGAGACGTTGCTGCAAACGTTGGACTCAAAGTTACAGAATGCAGTGCCGCTGTACGACTCAGTTGCGGCAGAGACTCGGGTCGATGACGAGCGTAATGGCATTGAAAGCTTTGGAAGCTGATCTGTTTTAGCATGAAGAAGTGCCAGACAGACTAAAGGACTAAAGCGCTGCTGCATCACTCTCTTTAGGTAGAGCTGGGCTAAAGCAAGGGCTAAATCCCACTGGCATTACTATCAAACAGCATTGTGGGTAATGTAGGAAAGCAGAAATGTAGGAAAATCAGCTCTTTTTATTGTGAAATAAATATTGAATACTACTGAAGATCACGTGTTAATTACAGAGATAAACATGCAAGCCATTCAGGGTGGATTTGTCCTTGAAAGCTTGCACTAGCTGTTATTTTTTAGGGGAATGTTTCTATACTTTGGCTTGTAGGATCCTGTCATGTCATCTATCTATCTATCTATCTATCTATCTATCTATCTATCTACGTGCATGCATTTCTGGTTTGTCTGTAAGCATCTGTGCCCAGATGTTTACCTGTGGAAACATGTGATATGTGTCAGTTTGCTTGTTTTTGGAGTCTGCATGTTATTATCTGCTCATATTTGCTCATCCATGGTTGGTGTAATGTCTGGAAAGATAATGTCAGGTCGAGGGACGGATTTAGGTGGATTACATAATACACACACGCAGGAGAAGAGAGAGAGAGTTGGAGATGGTGATGCTGGGATATGAACAGGGCCGGAGTGAAGAGCAGACTGCGTGTAGTGTACCTGTTTTATCCTGCTGTATCTAATGTCTTTCATTTCAGTAAATGCAGTAGCACTAGTACTTTTAACTGGTTATATATCGTCTAAGTATTTGAGGTTTTTTTTTTTTTTTTTTTTAAATCATTAGTATTTTCATTAAGACCTAATCACCCCCTCTCTCTCTCTCTCTCTCTCTCTCTCTCTCTCTTTCCAGTTGTCATAGAAGATGACAGACTTGATGAGGTGCTCCAAAACACGACGGAAAAGTCGCCGGCGAAAGTGTAAAAAAAATTGTAAAAAAAAAATTTAAAAAATCAGCAAAGGACGTTTTTCATGTTGGAACGCTCACCTCTGCGTGAAAACAGCACTTTGCGGTGCTCTTCAGTATGGGTTGAATTTCACAGCACAGCACGTGAGGAGACCAGCAGCGGCGCAGGCTCCCACACAGAGAACGCTAATGTCTGACCTACTGATTCCTCTTGAGGGCATGTTTTGATCACTTATTTTTATTTCCCCCTTTATGAGTTGAGATCAGTTTATTATTGCTACTCGTTGATCCTTAGTGGTAAAGGTACCGTTGTATTGTGAGAATGCATTGATATTAATAAGCACAAATCACAGACTAATGGTAACTGTTATATTTTGTCTTTTTTTTTTTTTCCCACTCTCTCTAACAGCGCACTTTTGTTTTTTTTTCTTTGTGTATCTAACATTTTGTGCACAATGGAACTGTGAATTTCTTCAGTGACGTGTTTTTCACTTTAATGAAATCTATTATTATTATATACATTTTTTGCAGTACTAAAAGACTGAGCAAACGTTTTTATAAACTGATGATGATGATGATGATGATGATGTTTTTTTTTAATTAACTTTTTTGATGTTGCTAATCGTAACTTTTGTTGTTGCTGAACTGCCTGCCCAGCGTAAACGTGAACCGCTAACTTTTGTACAGAGAAGTTTGTTTGTGAAACCGGCTTATTTGTAGCTGTAGTTCTAGCACTTTCAGATGTACAGGATATTTATGATCACAATTTGTGCCAAATCTCGCAAAAGTATGCCAGTCGAGGTGTGTCGCTGTGCTCTGCGTACTGTGAAATTCTGCGAGCCTGGCCTTCCTGTCCGTTTCAGGGCTTTTCTAACTGCTTTTGCATGAGACAGGCTGAAGTGCCTCGCTGTGTGGCAGTGAAACTGGTGTACTTACAGTAACTTTGGAATGACAGACCTCAAAACTCTTGAATATTACATATAGTAAATGTTGCACTTCTTACTGTTTAACAGGGCTACATTGATCATGGAAAGTATGACCATCAAAATGTGAATATACAATAAAATCAATACAAATGATCATTTGTGAATCTTTGATTTTTTTTTCTTTTTTTTTTTTTCCCACAATCATGCAATATACTTCACAAATCTACATTTTGGCCTCGCAACACATCTGAACTCTCTATAACTAATCATTTATCATCTATCCACTAATAATCGGGACATTTGGTGTCCATTCAGATAGGGTTGTTGCTGCATGTCTCAGATTTTGTACAATTTTTTTATATGTTGCTTGGGACCTAAAACCAAAGTCAAATTTCTAACATCACACTTTCTCACTTTTGTGAAAAATATATTTTTGAATTAATAAAATGTCTTATCTGGGATGCCATGTTTTGGATTTAATATCTCCGGAAATATTTTCCCTGCCACGTGGAATTTGGCAGACATAAAGACAAACTTGTTTCTTTATCAACTATCTAAATGAAGTCCCCACAGAAGGCCAGGTCCTCAAAATGGGAAAAAGTGCCAAATTTCCAAAAAGCTTACTATAGACTGCACTTTAATTGACACAAGCTACATAGTTTGTGCTTAATCTTCTAAATTGTATTGACTTTGTGTCAATACAATACATGAGGTCTGACCAACTAACAGAACTCAAGATATTGACAAAATTACAAAATAAGTTTAAAAATTTGTGCTATTTTGATGTGCCCAGAGGGTGATGTTGACTCACTAGTAGAATCATGAAAAATTGTTTGAAATATGTCTGAAGTATTGCCATGTTGTCTTAATATTCAAACTTGACAAGATATCAGCCCATGTTTTGTCTAGAATCGACTGTAGCCATTTACATAAAGTGAACATAGAATATGTCTGACTTTAATCAAGTGCTACATAAATATTTAAATGTGTTAAATGTCAGCAGCCATCATTTATTTGAATTATAAAGAACACAGTTTAATCTCAGAAATTTCAAGATACATTTTTAAATTTCACACATTATTTTATAAGATCCTATACAGGCCAGAGACATATTTGTATATAGATATGTTAACTCAAATGCAGAATAACGGACACCCCTGGAAGCCCCGCCCACTTCCCCCCATCTCACATTAATAATGTTTTAGCCGGTGCTGTCATCTTGACTTGGATTTCAGGCTTGAAAGATGTAGCACTATTGCCTCCCTTCAAGGTAAGTGGAGAATGTTTTGAGTTATTTTTTTAAGTGAAATAAATTTGATCCACATGGGTCCCTGGAGGACTAGTGATTAGGCCACAGAGCTCTCAGCGCTGCGGCCCGGGTTCAATTCCCAGCCAGGAAACCAACTCCAGCCACTGGGGTTGTGTGCTACAGTGTGCTACAGTGTGCTCTCAGTGCCAGTCTCAAGCCCGGATAAAACTGGGGAGGGTTGCATCAGGAAGGGCATCTGGTGTAAAAGCTGTGCCAAATCAAATATGCGGACGAATGATCCGCTGTGGTGACCCCTAATGAGAGCAGCCAAAAGAGGGACAACAACAACAACAACAACAAATTTGATCAATGTATGTTTAACTAAGACAAGTTTATAGCTAACATCAGTTAACTATATTCATGGTGTATATTGAATGTATTGAATGGTTGGCCACAGGAAAATTTTAAACGGAAATTGTCAGTTTTAGTCCCAAAGGCTGAAAATTTTGATTGAATTAAAAAAAAAAAGTGAAAAAAAAAAGTTGGCGAAAAAAGTTTCCAGGAGTAACACTGGACAAGCCGTATGTGAAATTATACTGAAAATATACCGTATGTTTTTATACTGTTAATTGTGTTTTTAGTTTACCCTTTCCACAGGTACTTCAGAGTTGGCAGGTCTGTAACACTGTTCCTGATATGACGTGTTAAATCTAAAAAATAAACTCTAAATTCAGCTAATAGGGTCAAAACAGCTAAGGCTCTGCGTTTATGCTAACCTTATGTTAGTAAGTATTTTGAAAATAAAGCATGAAAGACCATAATGTGTCCGCATTTGCTAGAACATGTTGCCCCTGAGAGGAGTGTGATGTGAATCCACTTCCCGCCCTTTTTCCCCATGTGTGTGAGATGGAGTTGGTTGCCATGGCAACAGAGAGGCACCCCAATTTAGCTTGTTAGCTTTCTCTTAGGCCCCTGAACCAACACCCGGGCACTGTCATCGAAATGCTCAATTATTCAGCACTCGTTCTCAGTTAATCAGCAGCCCTCTATTCAATGTTAGCACCGAACACTCTCAAGAGCCTCTCAAGAATCGAGAGAAATGGTGTTAAAAATCTTTTTTATGTCCCAGTGTCCCTCAGGCTCCATCCAACAGCAACACTTTTGAAGATTTTGGATGTGGGTCAGCATGACTTATAAGTATACGTTAGCATATACTTATAAGTACATAGCATATACAGTATGTACCATACGATGAGCAGTTTTAGCATGTATCGGCTTATTAGCAAGTCATTAGCATCTTGTACTAGCAGTATCAGCAGTGATCTATTTTCTTGCTACAGTGGTAGGAATGGACACAATGTCTGCTTTACTGTATGCCTACACAACACATTGTGTGCAAAACCGATATATAACACTTATTTGTCTAGCCTGAAACCAATGTCCCATGCACGGTGGTTGCCATGGAAACATTTTTACCACAAAGGGAGACACTTCAGCTGTGCTCATTTCCCACAATTCATTCATTATGATGCATTTAAAAGGATGGCATCGTGTCAGGGGCACAATAGGTGAAGAGCTGTTTATAAGATCGTTTCTCCATCTAGGCTACAACGACAGTGCTGTTGAATCCATTTCACTTTCAGTGCGGCTCAGAGTGAATCTCTCTCTCATGCCTTTGGGCACCATTACTGCTAACACAAAGCAAGGGTGGACAATCACCACCTCGAGCTCCCAGGACAAGCAGATAATGTCAGGGTTTTTTGTATTTATCATTGCCCAGTGGACTGATGACTCAGTACATTGCTTGTAAGGACACCAGTTTTTTTTTTTTTTCTTCTTCATCCAACCAGAGAAAAATTGCTCCCTCTTTGCTTTCACAGTTAAACAAATATTTTAGGCACAACAGAAAAGCATTCACCATATCATTCACCATATGCAAGTTCAAATCTCAATGATACCACAGACAGGAGAGCCAAAAAGCAACATTGGCCTAGCATACTCTCTGTTCCCTGTCAATCACAGCAACACCAATCATGGCATCTGTGAGCTCAGGTATGCAGAAGGAGGTAGATAGTGTTTTCTTCTAAGTGTGTTACAGCACCCTGTGATGCAGCATGAGCAGTAGTTTGAAAAGATATGCTTGGCTGGCTTCACGTTTGTCGGAGGAAGCATGTGTTAGCCTTCATGCTCCCTGGTTCGTAGCTGTTGTATGATAGGGAAGAGCTGACTGGTGGGTGGGAATTGACAGGTGACAGGTGAATTGAGAAAAAAAAAAGATCTGAAATGCTATGTGTCTTTGAGTCTAACACACTACAATCATTTCTAGGCTCTGAATGGAGCTTCAATGTGTCTGTGTACTGTAGATAGAAAAGAATTGAATTGCACCAACAACAAATGTATACGGTTTACATGGGGCAGTTTTTTTTATTGGAGTCCTGATGAATGATGTTTATTAAATCCAGAAATCCAATAAAATCCCTTCCTATGAATTTTGAGAGAGATTGGGTAAGGGTAAAAAGTGACAGGGGAAAAAAAGCATAACTTCTCATACATATACATAAACCTTAGTCATAACAGTTCATGCATTTGCATCAGGTGAAACTGAGTTCTCGTGCATTATTATATACCTGGTGGGAGCGTTTGCTCTGAGACAACGCTCAAAACAAAAAAAAAGGCCTTAGAAGTAGTGTTCTGAATAATGAATATTTAAATTCTGAGCCCCAGATTTATTGTAAATTTATTGGCACTGAGAACAGGGTTTTAAACTAGCAAAATAGAATGTGCTTTGTCCAATTTTGTATGTACCAAAAGCACCGAAAGTACAAAATATATAGCGGTGTCTATGTAAATATATTATTTTAGCACCTGCAGTGTCATTTACTGCACAGCCCTTCAGGCACAGCAATTGTGTGTGCAAATCAGTACTACCAAAAAGCAGGTATTATATTTGCAGAAGCCCGTTTCTGCCAGTTGAAGGCAAAATGATAGCAGCTATTCATCACACATTCACGCTGATACCAACAGCATTTAACGGAATTTTGGAAAAGGTTTTCATTTAGCACTTTATAAACAGAACGCACTATTCTATCAAATTTTATACCAGCGTTCTGTACCACACAGCCTTTAATTGTACTTGATGCACAATTGTGGCGAGGTTTAGTTACACTTAGATATCTGAACTTGCCGTGACTATCATGAACAAATAACGCACGTAAAAATATAACTGACGTATTGATTTACTTCTACTTTATACATGACGTAATTAACTCAATTATTCATTGTACAGTACATCACTCACACACGGCTACTTTTTGTGTGTCGTTTCTTTAAGAAATCGTATTTCAGAGATCATCAGTCAGCCTTACTATCGCTATGTATGATTATATATGACTATATATGAGTTAAAAAAAAAACATTTCAGTGAGATTGACATTACTCGAACTCAGTTTTATTCATGCAGATCATGCCTGCAGGATGTCAGGCTTTGTTTCACATAACTGGATCAGTCATTGAATTATTAAAGGATGATAATGAGGCTGGTAGATTATTCAGATTTCATTATAAAAAGTTTTCATGAACACAGCTAAAATAGAAACTACACTCATTTTTCGAAATGCTTTAACTGCATATTTTATAGTAAGTTCATTTAGAAATTCATTTTTTTCACAGCAGTTGCTAGTAGGAAATGTTCTTTGTTTAAAGGTTTGTTGTTGATATCTTAGGAGACTTCATACTCATTCTCATGTTTCATTTATGTATGAAGATATCTTTGTTGCAAATATAACTCTGAAAAACAAAGAGATTTTTTGCTATGATTAAAGCGTGAGATTACTGGCATCTTTTGGCTTATGTGAAAGCCAAATAGGAGCTGTCTTGTTTTTCTTTTCTTTTGATCTCATTTCTTATACAGAGCTAAGAGGTCTCTTTTCAGATTTTCCTCTCCTGTAGCATGCTGTGTAGTACTTATAATAGTGGTTAATTATAAATGAAATTACTGTTATTTCATTGTCCTCCAGTGTAAGAACAGTACAGGAGCTCTTATCTATCTATTAAAAAAAAAAAAAAAAAAAAAAAAAAAAAAAAACTACACTCTCAGGATGGCGGATGTTTTTTTTTTCAGATAAATTTTATCTCATTTCTCCTTTTATCACAAACCCCTCTGCTCCCTCCTTGTGATCCCTGTCATCATTAGCAGACGCTGACAGACTCGAGTGTGTGCGAGTGTTTGTTGTGTGAAATGACGGTCCCGCAGGAAGCTGGGATAGCACATGGTAACACACTCCTGGCACAGAATACTGTATGCTGAGGTGAGTGCTGCCAAAGTTGTTGTCATGGTAACCTCCTCCTCCTCCTCCTTCTCTCTTCTCTCTCTCTAACACACACACACACATACACACACATACAGAGAATTCACAACAAAGTTGAGGATGAGTTTAATTTTGTGGAGGAGGACGGCAGGTCTGAGCATCCTACGCAGGACCAAAGAGCGTGTGCTTCCTCGATCTAACTGCATAACTCCGATTTATGACTTCCAGTTTAATTTCACGAGGAAAACCAAATTGTGTTTTCCACTAAAGCATATGGACGATACTGTAACGTTGATGCTATTTAACAAGGCTTTGATGAAATTAGTGATTGAGATACATGTTGATCTGCAACCTGGGGAAATAGAAAAATGACATGATAAATAATATTTAAAAAAAATAATACAAATAAATACAGAAATATACAGTATATAAATATAAATTATACTATATACAAACATTAGGAATAATTATAAATAAATATACTAAAATCAATAACAAATTTTAACTTTTTTTATTTTATATATTATATGTTTTAAAAATAATAATAGCAATAATTAAATAAAACAACAACTTCTCCCAAGCTTATTTTTATTTCCACTACAACGTAATATACGATATCATATCTCAATAATAAAGTAATATACTTTCTCAATAATACAGCAGTATACTCGCTCAACAGTAATGCATGCATTGTTTTGTGCCTTCAATAAACATGACTATTCATGTGAATTATTCATCACATTTCGTTATGAAAGTCTCTGCTCTTCCACATGTCTCTATCGTCCCATTCACACATGCTACAGCATGCAGCATGTTTTATGCATGTGACAGACACAGAAAACAT